GTTGTTGGTGTTGTCGTTGTCGTTGTCGTTGTCGTTGTCGTTGTGGTTGTGGTTGTGGTTGTGGTTGTGGTTGTGGTTGTGGTTGTGGTTGTTGTTGTTGTTGTTGTTGTTGTTGTTGTTGTTGTGGCTTACAGTCTCGACTCAGACGAACGCGGCTGGCCAGCTTCCCCCTCTACATCTGCTCCAGTCACTGCCTCCACATAAGCCTAAAACGCCAGATAATCAGACTCAGCGAAGCTGTATCACCAGACATGTGAGGAGCAGGATGTAGTCAGAAAATCCGAGGTATACATTCTCGACGGCTGCTGTGCTCGTCGTCGTAGTCCATGCCCTGGTTGCTGTAGTCGTGCTTGTTTGTGTTGTGCCGTTTTCTTTGCGGTAGACACTGACTTCACCGCAATTGCCAATGCCGGTGGGTGTCAGGCACTCGCCTTCGGCCCGACACAGCTCTCCGGGGGCGGAGCCGAGACAACTGGGCAGTGAGTCCGGGACGCTCATGCACTCCTCGCTGGGGATAGGTGTCAACAGCAGACCATCAAAACAACGCGGCAGATGCAGGCAGATCTGCCAGGGTGCCAAGCCCGGCCGCCAGTAATATCTTCTCCGCCACCTGATCCTGGGTGTGTAGACTCTCCGCCGCGAGGCATGGGGGCCGTAGCGGATGATATCAGCTGGGAAAAACAGCCGGTCCTCGGAGAACCGGTTCAGACGCAAACCGCTAATGGAAAGATGATCACCGTCACGGTCCAACGGTGCATCGATTCTGGTGACCTTCACTATGCTGTTGTTCGGAGCTTTGAAGAAGCACTCAAAGTCAGATCGAAATTTGTCCGAAGGAGGCCCCACGCACTCGAGACCCGATTCGGGATCGACAGCACAAGGCCCAGAATGGTCCCAAAACCCTGTTTGCTTCAGTACTAGGGGCAAGGTAGAGGTCGTTTGTGTCGTTGTTCGGGTGCCAGTGCCTGTCAGGGTGGTCGTCGTCAGTGTACTACCATCAAACTTCATGTAGACATCACGTGTAGGGGGGTGGGTGAAGCTGCTGTCNNACTTCACACGGCCCAGCATGCTGCCATGGAGTTCCATGGTCCCCAAATGTTGTCGTGGTTGCGCTGGTGAAATTGACAGTTGTATGTTCATGCTGCATTGTCTCATTTGCTGCTTGGTTCTTTCTGTACACATCGCGCGTAGGGGGGTGGGTGAAGCTGCTGTCATAGCAATTGTCAATGTCGGTTCGCGTGCCACAGCTTCCATCACCCTCGCAAAACTCGCCCGGAGCAGCGTTCTGACAGTCTGGCAAGGCTTGCGTCCCCAAAGGGCAGTCTGGAATGGAGACCGGCATGAGTGGCAAGCCATCTGCGCACGAAGGCAGATCCTCGATGCACAGTTCCCAACCTCTATCTGAATCAGCTGCTGTCCCGCCAGAATGCCAAAATATTTGGGAGTGGACTACCACGAGCTGTGGACCCAACCACTGTGGACCACTGTAAGACCTACCAGACACGGTAAGGAGATCTTCGAAGCTCTCTGTTGCGAAGGATACAACCTTCACCACGAAGAAGTCCGGCAGTGATGCTATGCAGGACTCGTTCACACCATAGGCAGCTGGGAAATTCGGGCTGCGCAAGCATCCGTCGAGCACTTCACACGGCCCAGCATGCTGCCACAGGCCAACCTGGGAATAGGTAGACTCAAAGCTGGGTGCTGTTGTTGCGGCTATCCTGCTTGTAGACGTCGTCGTCGGCATACTTTTCCTGTAGACACTTCGAGTTAGACAATTGCCCAAATCGTTTCTAGTACCGCAGATGGGAGTCTCGGGCGACCCCTCGGCCCCAATGTCGAACATGCCCTCGCAGAGTTCACCCGGCTTCGCGAAGTCGCAACTCGGAATAAACTCAAACATTTGCGGGCACTCTGTCCGCGGCACTGGCTCAAGAGGCAAACCATCAGCGCAAGATGCGAGCTCCGTGACACACACTTGCCAGCCATACCCGGTTGTGTTGCCCACGGCTCTGCTTGCAGTCCTCCATGAGAAATTCCCATTGACGAGAAGACCTCGGCCCTCGGTCAGCTCTGTCCCCTTGTACTCAGTTCTTGACACACGCAGTCGATCGGAGTAAGCCGAGGAACCTTCATCCCAGGAACCTTCATCCCGTGTAGCGAAAGCCTGGACCCGCACATAGGTGGGATACTTCGGAAAGAACACCTCGCAGCGGTCGCCGTCGGCATAAGCGGAGGGGAAGTTGGAGCTTTGTGCGCAGGGGCCGACAACTTCACAGCGGCCTTCCTTGCTTGGCCATCTGCTTCGGTCCGTGGCAAGTGCTGAGCTAACAGGCGACTCCGCTTCTGAGGCTTCCTCCGTATCAATGTCCAAAGTGGGGGGCGTCTTTTTGTCTTGCTTTTTCTTGATGTAAACCTGTTTGCCTGGCACAGGGACTACCTGATCGGGCACGTTGGGCCGGCCAGGCAGCGTGCAGGATTACGTAGCCGTCATCTTGTGTTGGGGCTTCCGCAAGTGGCATCAAGAATCCTGGCGCAGCAGGATTGCTTGCTCCTGGGTTTCGCACTGGCAGTGCCAAAACTCCACCTTCCAATGGCAACACCACCGGAGCTGGTGAGCCTGCTGTTGCTGTTGGCGACGGTGCAGCAGGATTTGTTACTCCTGGGTTTCGCACTGGCGGTACCAAAAATCCACCTTCCAATGGCAACACCACAGGAGCTGGTGAGCCCGGTAAAGGTGGAGGGACGAGTTCATCCAGCTCACCGACATCGTCCACTCCTTTTGCCACTGCTGGCTCGTCCACGAGCTTAAGGAGGATCTCAACGAAACCGCCTGGCACTTCCACGACGACTTCCGAGGCTACCCCTGCCACAGCCGGGACGCGCAGGATGCCGCCGGGCACGTCAACCCGTTTGACAGGTCCCGGTCGAACTGGCACGGGCGACCCAAGCCCAAGCGGCCCATGAGCACCGACATGGCTGGGGAGGGTGCGCCGACGCCGAGGCACAGAGCTGTGCCGTCGTCGGTGCCCAATACCATAAGAAGGAGAGGGGGAAGGAGGATAGTAAGAAGGAGAGGGAGAAGGTACAAATCTCCGCCTGAGGCTCCAGCCGATGCTCCAGCTGCGGCGGCCGGACAGCTGGCGAGCCTGCGGGTGCCTTTCATGTTCCCATAAACCAGGGACATCCTCGTATGCAGCCAGCTGGTAGCAAAGGAGGAAAACAAGGAGTAGCTGCATGCCGGCTGATGGCCCGATGCGGCCGAAAACGAGCCCTTTGACCCTTCGAGGCAGCAAAACTGCAGCGGAGAGGCCGAAATGACTTGCGGCATCTTGTAGTGACTGTAGTGATATCACCCCACGTGTCTCCGGCTTCGGGCGGATAGCACTCAACAGCGAGACAGACTTCTCAGGTAAATTTCGCACAGGAAGAGAGCGAACCCGAACCCCATCTCTCTGGGCTCGCTGCCACTTGGGAGTCGCGGCCTGACGAAAGCGGTTCTCACGATCTGATCATTCCATAAACGTGTTCAGCTAGCTAGCCCTAGCCACGCCCCGTTTTAAGATCCCCCCAGCCCCGACCTGCCTCCCGAACCCCAGCCTCAACTTTCCTCAAAGCCTGCCCAGACTACCCTATACACACATTCTAGTATAAATCTATCCCATAAACTCAAGCAGCCCGCCAACTCCTACCTTCAACCCGCAACCTCAACCAATCCCGATAGAATATTACATAATTTTATGTAATATCTTACCCAGTAAAACGGGGCGAACTCCCTCGTAGAGTTTTAAACTTTCAACAGCTCGTGTCTTAAATAAGGCTTGTTTTTCTCTTCCAAGTAAAAAAACTTTTGCCCCATACTACTCTTTATATCTTTTATGGTATGGGCTGTAGGAAGCCACACGGAAATGCGTTCCTTATCCAGTTTATCTTTCTTCTTATATATCTTAACTTTATCCCCAACATCAAGTTCGGGATACTTCCTTTTAGATACTGACTGTAGCGCAATGTTTGATTTCACTTCTAATTCATTCTTTTTCATTGCTCCCTCCTTCGGCGTCATTCCTATCGTAGAATGTTTATCTTTATTATTGTATGTTAGTACTATTTCAAAAATGTAGTCGGTCCATTGTATATTCTCCTTCCCTTTTCTTTCATCCGCCTCCACTCTTTTGAATAATTTATCTTTAAATGTCCTGATGCCCCTTTCAGCGAAATTAGGATGTCCCCTAGTCAAATGTATTTCTATGTTCTCCTTCTCCAGATACTCATTAACAACCTTGCCAGTTAAACTACCTTCTTCGTCTGAATAAAACCTCTGTGGTTTTCCACCCATTTTCTGTATCCCTTCCATAATTCCAGCTAAAACATCTGGCGGATCTTTACTTTCAATAGCCACTACGGCCGTAAACTTACTAAATACATCTACCATTATCAGCCCTACTCCAAACTTCTGGTTAGGGAAATCATTCTTGGAAATAAAGAATAAATCTATTTCATATTCATATTTAGCATAAGGGGCTACGAAAGAATTATAGCCTGACAACTGCTTTTTCTTTTCTACGTTCTTCTCAAACCATTTTTGAACATCATTAACTGTTATCGTTTTATCCTTCTTTTTTGCATCTTGATAAGTCGTTTGAACCGAGCCATAGCCACTTCTGTCATAATATATACTACTTATAATATCATCTTTATTATCACTACTCATAATAATAAAGATTATATTATAATTAATGGAAACTACAATCGCATAGATTACACATAGCAGTACAATTATCTTTATAATGAGGATAATTATTATCTACCCTCTGCGCCGTTAAGTTGCTTCTTATAACTCCATCTACCTTTTCAATTACATAGACTTCTCCACAGTGTCCGCAGTGTCCCTTCATCCTTTCCTTTAGCCACCCAACATTCACATACTCGCTTGCTTTCATTTCTCTTTTTGCTTCTCTATCCTGTTCCATATAGTTTTTAACCTTGTTGTTAAAGTATTCATGTAGTTCCTCCTCGGTTATAGTATTAACATCGTATTTATAGAACCTGACTTTACTTAAGTCTCTACACCTCGTGATTGCAACCCAAATCCACTTCCTGCTACAATATGGTCGTTTCCAATCGTATATAATTATCTCATCATTCACCGAGGCTTAGAATGGGCTGTATAACAGTAGGCATATACAAAATGGGATTTCAAAAATTTCTTTAACATTGTTTGCTCCACCTCCGTTTTAATGTTCTTTAACACCACCCTCTCCTCATCAATCCTCATAATTTCGTATGTAATGTTTGCGTTCCACTTGTCCTTCTTAACTTCTTAAGTTTTAAATACTTTTTACATATAACTCTGTCTCCTACTATATAATCGTCGCCTAATTGCTTCATTCTCCTAATCTCGCTGGCTATTTTTCTACAGGTCTCGTTCGTATAGGCTATGTTGTTTTCGCACATCTCTATCTTATCCGTGTGTTTAAAGTATCCTTCTACCACCTCCTTTATAGGCTTCTCTTTTTCTAATAAATCCCGTCTTATACTCTCTAACTTAACTCTGTCCTCTTCTGATTTCAGCCTTTTACATATCCTCAGCCAGATGTTGTATTTAAACATTTGGTCTATACAGTCGTTCATATACTCTTCGTGGTCTCTGGTGTTTGTAGCATCCTCCACGGGCTCTAACTGGAACACATCGCCTGCTCCTATAACTATCTTATCGGGGTTGTTCTTTATAAATTCCTGTATCCTATGCAGTTTATAGGTGTTGTTAAAATATATATCTCGTCAAATACGATGACATCATACTCTGAATAGTCAAAGGGTTGTAGCTTCTCCTCACCGAAGTTAATGGCAAAAAACTTATTTACAGTTATGGCTTCCCCGCTTACTTTTTGAGTTAGGTTGTTTGTACCTATCACGAACAGCACCCCATAACCATTCTGAGCCATCCATTCAGGTATATATGACTTGCCCGCACCCGCATATAATCCTCTAATCATTACCACTCTCGTTTCTTTAATCTGCTCCACTATAGCAGGTGTATCGTATTCATCTGAAACTTCTAGCGTTTCATTAGCCCTTTCAGGTATTCTAATCAGGTCCTTCTTTTTCAAATAGATACTGCCCTCGGGGTACATAAATTCGTTTTTAGAGTGTCTCCAGTCTCCTATCTCATCGCCGAAGTTTAATATCGTTTTAGCTTTCTCTAGTTCTTTTGCTAATATTGTAAATGCACCGGTTTTAACACTAAAGACTTCAACCTTATTCGCCCTCAGCTTCCTGTAGTCCATAAGCATTTTAAAGTTATGATTTTGCAATAGCAACTCCTCTATAAACTTGAACCCATTCTTTAAAACCGCTGTGTCTGAAACAGTCAGTATATAATATTTAGGTACATAATATTCATCATCATCATCTTCATCATAAGCCACCTCGTGAAGTATGCTAATCTTACCTCCATACTCGTTTTGATAGTCTAAAGCCTCCTTCAGACTGCTAAACACCTGCGACTTTTGGGCTGTTTGTCTCCCCTTCTCCATCACTCCAAATACAACATTTGCTGTCGTTTTCTTTAACTGTGTGTCATCACAGCGATGTAGTGATGCGCCTCCGGTGTCAAGGTCGGTATTCCATAAATCATCAATGGTCTTTTTATAATCGGTTTTATATGTAAAGGATGGTTGCTTATAGTATATGATGGTTATAGTTTCAGCTTCGCTGCGCCTGCCGGCGTCGGCTTTGCCGCACCTTTGGGTGTCAGTCTCCATCAGGTGCTTAAGAAACTTGCCATAAACTAAACAGTGGGTTCTCTGAAAGAAAAGGCTGACCTTATCTACTTTAACCATGTATAAGGTCAGGTTTTTAATCCTTTCACCTCTGTAAGGCTTCCATTCATCAAACTGGCTA